CGTACTGCTGCTGCCGCATGCCCCTTGCACTCTTCGAGCCCTCCTGACGCTGCCACCTAGTGCTAGGTAGTGCTGCTGCCTGTTGCCTTGCCTACAGGTTTCACGTCATGCTCATTCTGCTGCTGCTTCGGATCTTTGACTACGTCCGTAGTTTCGAGTTTCGCCGTAGTAACGGTCCCGACCTCTGGTCTGCCTTGGGAGCCTTGGCACAGAGACCAAGCAAAGCGCACAAAAAGAGTGTCCAATCTTGCGTCAAGCCCTGAAGCTGTTAACAACATCCATCAACACAAACAACGGCAACAACAAGTGTAAAAGGACAACAGCAACAACAACAACAACAGCAGCAACAACTGCAACTGTGTGAAGCAACTGTGTGAAGCCCTGAAGCTGAAATCAACAACAAAGAACAGCAACAATAACAAGAAAAATGCAATTAAGAAGACAAGCATTACAGAAAAGTTTTCGCCTAGAGGTGCGTGAACAGAGTGTTGTGAAAATGCCACGCCTGCCAATGAAGTCTACACATTCAACTTCGAACTCCTGGAAAAACAGCACTTTGGACTAGTGGCTCCAAGCACTTCCAAACCACAAACGCACACACAACCAAAAAAAACACGTACATTTCCGCAAACGCAGTGCCAACCATAAATGCGCTGTCGCCGCGCGGTCGCGACTGACGCCGCTACCAGGTTTAATCAGCAACTGGCTACTGAATGAGTAGTTCACAAATCCCAAACCGTAGGCGCTGAATCCTAATACCCTGAGCCAAGTATAGGTTCCAGCTCGCCTTTCCTTTGCCTGTAAGCGACTTCTTCAGGGTTCCCCTAGTGGGCCGCAATCATACCGCAGTCTTGCCGAATTAAAACTACACGGAACAAATGCTCTCAGAAAATGATATTTAGCATGAGAGGGGCCTTCGGTAGTAGGAAGTAAGGATTACTTCGATGCCTTTCTCTGCTATTTTGTCAATGTACAACTGCCGCACAGCTTTTCACAATCGTTGCTGCTAAATGTTCTTGGCAATTGTAAGCCGCTTCCTCTTCCTCGAACGTGCGAACCTGCGGATGAATCTCAATCGGCCCACACACTCTTTTGAGATGAGAATGCCCTGGGCGAGAACATGTGGTAGCTGCCAGAGTCCCGCAGTTTCCACCTTGAGCCGTACCTGCGACTCTGAGTACACTGCAAACCCTTTCCTTTAGCGAAAGAGCAAGCGCAATGTACCACTTGTGATTTGGACTTGCTCTGTGCACCATCGGAATAGCTCCTGTTCGCCCCGAGCACGAATCGGTATCCTGCGGACCTTGTTCCCTTCACCTGTCTGAAGCCCACAAGCCACAAAGTCATAGGATCGCCGGAGACGGCTTGGAGGCAATTGGCCGCTTGGGCTACGCCTGGACTTGGACTCTGGCGAACGGGGCGCTGGCAGGGCCAGGGATTCGGGATTACAGAGTGAGTTTGAAGGTCGGAGTTGAGGGCTTCATTTTTGTTGGATGAATTGAAACCTTGCCTCTGCGAGCGGACAGGTGACGTTTGTCGTCGTTTTCGGCTTTCGCTGGATGGTCGCCGCATCATGGATCACAGGCCTCACTGTTTTGTTGATGGGTGTGGAATAATGAAACTTAGGCGGTGATGAGTTGACACTTTAGTTGCACCCCTCGGACTGATGGGAAGGAAGCTTATCTGGTCCCCTGTCAAGGACCCGTCTTCTTGGTCGTGGTTATCTGGGCATGCATTGTGGCCCTGCAAGATTCCGGCCACAAGAAGCACGACCTCGAGCTTTCGGAGCTCTCTCTGCTGCACGGAACCGGGATTGTTGTGGGAGGATGGGTTGTGGGCACGACGATCGCGTCGGACGTCTTCCGCTTTGCTCGGTCGAAGCGTCAGGCTGCATCACTTGTTGCCCTGCCTCGGAGCTGTTCCCTGGCAGTCTACATGGTCGCCGGAGTCTTGCTTGCTCAAGCATATGGGACGGACGATGTCATCACAATCATGCACGAGTCTGTCGGTCTCGGAGCTGTCGTAGTCGTCGTGGCCGGAGAGATGGTCATCAACTGCACAAACATATACTCTGCGATGCCTGGTCTCTTTAGGAAGTATTTTCGGTTTCGATGAAACGGCTTAAAGATAAGCGTTTGATTCGACCGATTGGTCAGGGAGCGAAACACCGAGAGTGGAGGAGGAGCAGCAGCAGGAGGAGAACGAGTTGTTGCAATTGTGAGGTGGTGACAATATAGTAGCAGCTGCTGGAGTAGGATCATATGGTAGCGGTGGCAGTAGCAGTAGAAGTCGAATCAGCATCAGCAGCAGCAGGAGGAGGATGAGTAGGAGGTAGGAGGTTGGAAGTAGTACCAGGAGTCAGGTTGTAGGAGGCGCCTGGCGGTAGTTGGTAGTAGGAAGTAGGTAGTAGGTTGGTGATAGGAGGTACAGGTAACAGACATAAGGTAGTAGGTGGTGGTAGTCGTCGGCGTGGCGGCGGCGGCGGTGGTGGTAGACGTAGCAATTGGTGGATGTGGAGTATAAATGGAGGTAGTAGAAGCAAAGGTGGTAGAGTGGTAGTAGTCGTCGTAGCAGTAGCCGTAGTAGTTGTAGTAGCTCAGTAGTGGCAGTAGTAGTAGTAGTAGTAGTAGTAGTAGTAGTAGTGCTAGTAGTGCTAGTAGTGCTAGTAGTGCTAGTAGTGCCAGTGGTGCTAGTAGTGCTAGTAGTGCTAGTAGTAGTAGTAGCAGTAG